GCCGGCTTCGGGGACCCGCTCGGCGCCGGGGCGGGATGGAGTTACGAGAGGTCAGCGAAAGCTAGGTAAGGAGCTGAGGGTGGCCTGGAGAAAGGGGCCAAGGGGTGGGGGCCCAGCCCGGCCGGGCCTGGCCCGCCCGGCGACGCGTGCATAGCGAACTCCCCTCTGGCTTGCAAGGGAGCGGCCTTCTTGATTTGTAACAACGCCGCCGCCCCAGTTTGCAAATTGCAAACTCCGCCAAAACCAGCTCCAGCATGCAAAGGGGGAAATGCAGCGGGAAAATGGGGGTGCAAAACAATTTCAGACTGGAAGGCCTTGGGAAGGTGGGAGGGACTGGCTGAGCAAGGCCTGGACTTCCCCCCATCCTTGGATTCCCGGCTTGCTGACCCCTCCCCCCTGCGCCTCAGGCTCTGCTCTTGCAAAGACGGGAAGAAAAAGAGAATTAGAATGCAGTCTTGGGGGGCTCACACCCCCTCCCAGGTCCTATTGTTCCGGGACTGTGAGAGGGCCGCGACACCCGCCCCCCCAAAAAAGAAATTCCGCGCGCAGAGTGGGCACGGGCCCCGCCCCCTTCCTAAACTGGGGTTTCGTGGGGGAATGGGGGGGTCTGGCATCTGGGGCACGCCCCCTTTTGCTCCCCCACCCTCAAAGGCAGAGAATCCTAGTTGATGGCTAGTAGAGTGTTTGCCCCCTTGAGTCTTGCCCACCGATTGGGGCTCTTGTATGGGAAGCGTCTGATGTTTCCCCAGTACATGTGTGTGTGTGTGTGTGTGTGTGTGTGTGTGTGTGTGTAAGCGTGGGCTCCATGTGTGTGAGGCTGGCGGCGTGTTCGCCTGAAATCTGACCCTTTCCTGGGCCCTCCCTCTCTTAACCTGCTCCTGGAATCCCCCTCCTCTCCCTACACACCTGAGTTTCCATGCGTGGCTGGGCAGAACCCCCAGCGTGCCAGGATTTTCCATGTGAGGTTCTTAGTTTTGTCTTTTTTCCCCATGGGGGAGTTGGTTGCCCGTTTGCACACATACCTGGCTTCGCATGGGCCCTTGCATTTGAACCTGAACCCCAGGGGATTGAACGGTGTTCCTGTTCGCACTTGCATCTGGTACTTTCCCTGGGTCCTGTCGCCTCCCCATCCCTACCCCTTGCCAT